TCTGTAAACAAACTGCCAGACAATCTCTCCTTTCTCTCTATCTCTCCCTCGATATATACTTTACACCAAGAGAGGATGAAAGGTAAAAGGGGGAAACCCCATATAGATCTCAAGCTAATCAATATTAAGGACGGTGCCTACTAAATACAAAGTTAGGTTTTCGCGCCAGGTTAGGACCACGCGGAAAACGTAGGTCTTTGCAAGGGCTCTTGGAATCCACAAAGTAAAATTGGGGTAAAAACGCATTTTTTCGAGAAAATTAGCCTTGAATCTCAGCTAAAATGCTGACGTCAGCAATTTTCTGAAAACAACGATCGCAATCACGAAGCCAGCGAGCAAGCCGAAATTAGCGCAAGCCGCGCTAAAATACTGTTACAAGAAACTGTCGAAGCAGAGAAAGTTGACGAAGAGAAGTGGACGAAGTTGAAAGGAAGAAGATTAGTCAACCGATGCGTAAAATTTCGAACGCTAATATAGTAAATCAAAAGATAATTTCACGTTTACTAAGCTTGGAATTCTGACTTCACACATGAAAAAGCGGTTTATTCACTGGAGAATAATTTACTGCACGCCATCGCGAAAAAAAATTGTACCCGTTCCGTGTTAACCGTCACAGTCCTATTTTTATATAGAAAGTTGATTCCTCTACGGTGTCTTCCTTGGTGTGATAATCTCATAACACTTGGATGCCGCCGAATTTTATTTTTTCTCTATTTCTCGAAAGTGGAAAATAGGCGAGTTGTACGCGCATTTCGAGTTCCAAGTCGGCAGCCCCTGGACCAAATTGGTTGAAATTCGGAGAGAACGTTCGCCGACAAAACCGTGTCTGCGAATTCTGATTATAGCTGGTTTTCACATGACGTCACTAACATTCAAACTACGAAACTATTGATTTTCCTGAGATGCTACTTTAATGATGTATACGACCAGCTGAAAACTAATATTCATACAAATTTTCGCTCCGAATGGGTTCTTGGTTTTGTGATACACTACGCTTGAATTTCTAAGCTTTTGCGTGACGCGGCATTTACATGACGGC